GTTTCAGATTATATTTTCATAATAATGAATGAATTGCAAAAATGTATTTTAGAAAAAGAGCTTGAGATGTGCTCAGCAGCATTCCGCTTCCTTCTCTTACTCTTGCTTAACACCACAAAACACAGTCAGTCAATGTGACGGCGGATCCAACATCATATTTGGCTATCAATCTATTTTTCTCATGGTTTTTTATAATACTTTTCAAATATGTATCCACAATCAGGATTACTGTGAAGAAATCATGATTAGATCAGAGTAATTTGAAAAGTTTATCTCTAAGAAAGAAAGCTTTTCAGTAAGCAAAATACACTGAAGAATTGCTATTTATGAATTATCTCGGTTAACTTACATCGCTATTTTTGTGAAGTGAAAACTGCACTGTTAAAAATTAGGTCTCACTAAATGAACACTTTTTCAAAGTATTTTCAACACTCTAGGAAGACAGAACCATTGATTAAGGAGAACATTAAAAATTTCGTTCGCGATATTTATGAGAAAATAATTTTTGAACTACCATTGCCTATCTAAAATATCTCATATCTCATGGATGACAGTGTAAAAGCCTTATAATGTTTCAGCAATCGAAACTGAGTATTCTGCTTGAGCTAGAGCTCTTTATCATGTACAGGTTGTCGCATAAGTACCAATATGATAAAAATTCAATGTCTTCTCTATGCATTAACCATTCATGTCGCTTTTTCTAGTAGTAGTAGAGAGTTTCAAACTTTTAATCGTAAACGAATAGTTTATTAATGCTGTTCAGAACTGTTACCATTAATGTAAATAAAGTAATGCAGCCATTTTCCATTCTTAAAAAGTAATTTCGCAGAAGAATCCTAATATGATTAGAGGACTTTGCATCCACATTTTATTCAGAATTGTGGAATCGCGCAATTATAACAACTTACAAGTGCTTTCAGCTTTTATCGAGTTTTGATTCAGATATTTATTAAATTTTCAGCTTATTCGCTCAACAAGCGTCCGATGTTATTAAAAATGTCGTAATTTTTGGATTTTTGTTTTTTGAGATGTACTCTTTTCAAATCTTCTATTTTACAGGATATTGATGGAGAAGCGTCTATATTCTGCAAAAATGCCTATCTCTGAGAAACTCAATCCAAAAATACTAAAATTTCAAATTTCTTGCAAAAACTAACCTACTAAAGACCGTAGTGTTTGGATAGTTTCGTCGTTCCATAATTACCGATAAAATATAGGCTTAAAACGGTTTAGTCGTTTGAAAATCCTTCCTCGAAAATAATTTTTTAAAATTGGCAATGGCTGCCTTTCTTCATTTAAACCAATGGTGATGGTGTTAAGTTGTATTTATTAAATTTTTGTTTTTTGTTAAAAAGTTGAAACTCTTCTACAACCAGAAAAAAATTAGTTAGAACAGTTGATGTTGAGTAGAGACATTGCATTATAATCATATTGATATCAATTGTACATTGTGTACAATGGAATTCTCTACACTGCAGCGAAATAGATTTCGTATTCGTTTACCTTCTAAAAACAGCTTCAGAATTCCGCATGTTACCCTGCTTTCTTTCAGCATGTATAAATACTACTTTATTCAGCAAAAGCGGAATGCTCACGACCTCAAATGCCAAGAGTATATTTCTCGAAAAAGATTAAATATAGGATAAGCGTGTTTAGTAACGTTTGAAAAACTGCTACGATGTTACTCGAAGGACAAATCTTGTGTGAAAGATTTACTTCTCCACACGAAACGTTTCGAATAAATACTGATATATAACATGATATTCTCACAAAAACGGTCCCAATGTGCTATGTCATTTGCCGAAATCGTGTTGGTTTCTGCTCTAGCTGAATAAATTGTTCGATTACTAAGAACTTCTCCTAAATACGCTAACTGTAGGCGATACACAGTAAATAATCGTTTGTAGTGGCATCGAGCATTATAACCAACACCAGAACAACTACCAGCACCAGAACGACTACCAGCATCAGAACGACTACTACCACCAGAACAACTACTACCACCAGAACAAGTACGAGCACCATCATCAGCACCAGTACCACTGCTAGTGCTAGCATGAGCACAAGCAACAGAACCAGTACAAGCACTAGTACTAGCCCCAATACTAACACCAGCACCAGCACCAGCACCAGCACCAGCACCAGCACCAGCACCA